GGGGGGCTTAAAGGAACGGTGAGAAGAAGTCGAGATTGAGTAAAAGAGAGGGAAAGAATAACCCAAAGAAAGAAATAAGGGAATAAACAAAGACAAAGAAAAAAAAAAAAGAAGAAAAAGATAGGGATGCAAAGAAAGGCGTTCAGATCGATCGCTCTTAATTACAAATATTCCATTTATCGTTCAGTGATTTCTGCGACAGATTACTGGGGCCAATAATTACGTTGCCCAATATTGTGCGAGAAAAGACTGCTTCATAAAAGGAAAGGTGATTTGAATTGCTTCCAAGTTATTCCGACGTCCCACGGCTGCATGGGGGGTTTGGAAGCTGATAAAACAGCTGAGAAACGGGTGATAGAGTTGAGAATGAATAACTCGAAAGAATAAAGTCGAGAAACAGAAGACGCTCGCTCGCACCTCTCTCTCTCTCTCTCTCTCTCTCTCTCTCTCTCTCTCTCTCTCTCTCTCTCTCTCTCTCTCTCTTTCTCTCTCTCTCTCTCACACAGGCTCTAACAATATTCAGCGCGACCTAATCAGAAGAGATTGCGAGGAGGTGATGGAAAAAGAAATTGAAAAATAAAAACAAAAAACAAAAAACAAAAGCAAAAACAAAAACGACGTGGAAGACAAAGCAACGACCGGATCGGCCGCGTCTGGCGTCGCCATGGTTACGCAGGCGACAGGGGACTACCTGGCGTGCCACTTCCGGGCTAGTATAGCCTCGTGACTCATCCGGTATAATAATAATAATACGGCTTCTTTTCTCTGAATTTTCAGTTTTCACCTCAATTGGGGCCTGCTTTCATGGGGTGGATATTTAGTTTTAGTAAGAGTTGTATGGCACTTGCAAGACAATGCAATACGGTCATAAAATAAGTGCCGAAGATTAGAGATTTTAAAAGAGAGTAACAAGCACTAGAAAGGATGAGAGATAAGGACGATAGATCTTTGAGATAGGAAAGAAGGAGCAGACCACGCCAGAGTACCTGCCAACCACCCGTATCAGGTTTCTTTGTGGGCACGCTAGTGTGCTTTGTGCTGCTTCTTTCCCATCAAAGTATATCTATCGCCCTTACAATTACATATATTTCTTATCCAGTGACACCTTTAATATTCGGTACTCATGACTATGTGACGTATTTGTGTTACATGTGCAGTAAAGCTCTTACTAATACTGAAACTTTAACTAGCCTTCTTTAATCTTCTGATACCATGCAATATTATTGTACCCCCCCTCCCCCCCAACCCAGTTGGTTAGATAGAATAACAGGTTGGATATTAATAATAACAGCAATAATAATGAAATAGTAATCGTGATATAATAATAGCGTTTATTCTGAGCATATCCGCGCTCCACATCACGCTCTTTGTGCTTTACAACTGTTATTACCCCAGCATCCTCACATCTCTCTCTCTCTCTCTCACTCTCTCTCTTTCTCTCTCTCTCTCTCTCTCTCTCTCGCTCTCTCTCTCTCTTTCCATCTCTCCGTTGACCTCTCTTTCACCCTGACAAAGATAGGGTTTCCACTGTGTTGATTGGATGCTTTTAACACAAGGCGTCATAGTTTTATAATACATACGTGTCATGTTTGTAATGTACTCGTCGCTTGTTGGATT